AACACACATCCTCGCCCTCCAGCTTGCTTCCCCCCAGGACTTACAGGTCAACGGACTGCTCTCATGACACACACCCCACAACAAAGCCAAGACAGAAGGAAATTATGTAGGGCCTGAGCTCGTGCTGAGACCACAATGCTGAGATCACAACAGATCAAGGAGGTGTCACCAGAAGAGTGCTGGGTGGCCTGAGGGTCAGAGGGGATGGCGTAACGTGACAACCCTCCCAAGCAGAATGGGAGCTCTCCCCTCAGCAGCTTTCCCCCGTGGAAAACTCAATGCCCAAGAGCCTGACTCTACCCACGCAGTAGTTGCGAGGGATAAGAGATGACCATTTCTGTTTCCACTGAAGAAATAAGCCTTGGTTTCTTTTAAAACACAGCATCTGAGATAGGAGGAATGAGAAAACACCACAAATCCTACAGGAATCGCTGGTAAGGGAGCCGTCAGGAACTCGCCGAGCCTAAGGCTGGAGTGCCCTCTAGGGGTGCCAGGCTGGTGAGCCGCGTACCCCAACCTTCTGCGGAAGAAGCCCTGAACCAACTAAACCTCTCCTTAATGAAGTCGTGGGAAGACTTCATTTGCCTGTGCAAAAAAGGAATTATATATCCACCATTGGTGGAGCTCTCCTTCTCTTTGTCCTATTTTTCCTCTGCCCCACAAGGCTGCCGTGATGGTAACACAGCCCAAGTTTTAGGAGGCCTTGCTTTGGGAAAAGGACGTTCTTCTCCATTAATCCAGTGACTGAGCAAAGCTGAGACAGGGATTCCTTGGCACTACAATAATGGTGTAACGAAGAAAATTCATGAGCCTGACCACACCCCTAAACTTCGGCCCAAACACCCCCCCGGTGCAGAACCCTGATGGTCACATGAGGACAGCGAGACCAAGGGCTGCCGAACAAAACTCTCCTGCAGCACACCATGCCTGTGCTCTCAGAAGTACCCGTCATCAGCCCTGCCCACCAAGGAGTTAGGACTGAATGCAAGCATCTTCGTATCCTGCTCTCACAGCTTAAACAGGACCTACTAGCTTCCTAATTTTGGCTGTCTGTCCTCTCCCCACCCTGATTCCCATGGAACAGAAGAATGAAGCCACATGTGCTGAAAAAATACTCCCAGAGGGAGCAAACGGGAGCGGGCTCAGCTACCAGGGAGAACTAAATAGACTACAAAGGGGCAAATTTCACACAGGGCAAAATTAAGCAGACAACTGAGCTGCTCTCTTTGCATGTGTGTCTCTGTCCCCAGGACAGAAACAATACTGGTAGTTGATGTCACACTGTGTTTGCCTTTGTGCCATTACCAACGCGTCTGGGAGCAAAAGTCATAACCCTTCTGCTGTAACCATAGAAAAACATGGGCGATACAGAGGGCTCCTCTTCCTTTTAGTCTCTGACTTAACAAGCAGGAGCATTTGCGGAAGCTACACAGATGTAACCAGGAAGCAAACTTTCCATTTGCTTGTATATGTGCACTAACAAGTCAATTTAGGGAGTCACATGCCATGTGGCTGGTGTGTGCAGTCACAAATGAGCAACTTAAGCCTGGGATATCAATGCTGATAATGAACTGCTTCCTGAAGAACAAGGGTTATGTACGGGTATTACTTGGTGAAAAGTTTCTGCACTGTTGGTTTTAAGACTGCTGCAGACAAAACCTGAACAGAAAGAGAGCAACAGACACAACTAACCAATATTTTTGAGAGGAGATATTTCCACTACAGTTTTTAAGTCCAATGAAGCCTGGAAAAATTACTCTGATGAAGCAAAACATAGGCAAACCCCAACCCAAACACACCACACAAAGCTCTGAGTCAGAGATGACCAACCTTTCCTTCCTAGCAGGAGAAAAGGATCTGGACACCGGCTCGTTTTGTGCAACAGGTTACACAGGACACGGTTCCTGGAAGTGGTACATGCCTAAAGCAGTGTCCTGCCAGGTGCTGCTAAAGAGCTGGATCTTGTCCCCATGCTATCCCTGTCCAAGTAACCTCCCCAGCACCAGATCACAAGAAAAACCCCAGTTGCCCACAGAGCTCCATTCCCGAGCTACCACCATAAACTTCTGGCCTTCCACAATAAACGCGCCTTCGTTGTAAGTACCGTGACCCATCAAGTAACGTTTTCCCAGAGAGACCAGGTTTGGGTTAAGCTGTTTATGCTATATTTTTGCACCAGGGTATGTTAAGTGGTTTCCAATAGAAAGTCTTACACAGCACTGCATTTCAGTCTGGGTGGGCAGAGATGCTTTTACCAAAAAATGTGGGCACAATTAACAGCATGCCCGGGCATTAGCCACCCTGGCTTCCACTCCATACAATAGGCCTTTGTCTGAAGCCTGGCACTGCATGGGCAGAATTAGAGCTCAGCACCACAGGAAGCCTTGCCAGCAGATGTTTTGACTTGCAGAACATGCAAGTTCTCCCCAGTTTTAATGCTCACACTGCATTCCCGAATTAATGGGGAGTTAGAGGTTAGAAATACTCTTCTCCTGAATCAACCGGAGCAGAAATACTGCTGACAATAACAAAGCTAAACATTGCCAGGCTCCAACTGACAGAATTATTCCTGAGAACCCTATCTTCAAACTTAATCACCACTGAGTGATCAAACCCAGAACCACAGAGAGCTCACGCCTTCCCCAGACACAAGTGTCACCACTGTGGCTGAGGGCCCAGCAGCCTCTGCTGCTGATGTTCTACGACATATCAAGACTCTGGTCCTGAATATTCTTCTACAGGCTGAGATGAAAGGATGTGTAAGTGGCAGTTGTGCTGAATCCCGCTGAACAGTCTGGAACCCTCTCACGGATTTCAACAGAACCCTCTTTGTCCAAGGGCACAGTGGAAGCCCAGGCTTCTTTGCCTTTTAGCTTCTGTGTAATAAAAGATGTCAGATGAAGGATTCTGCAGACTGTGTCCTCTCTTTAGTGAGCTGCTGCTTTCTTTACACATTCCCAATGCTATCCCTTCCCCAGAAAAAGCAGAGGCAGTCTTCACATCCCCAAAGCCCACTCAGACTTTGGGATGTCTCTGACATTGTCAGTAGGGGACATTCTGTCTGAATGACCCTTTTCATCTTTCCACAGCATTGGCCCCTCCTTCTTCTCTAAAGGTTAACACAGGCTCCAAAAGAAAACAAATTCTCTAAAAAAAACTCCAAAAAAACCAAACCACCAAAATAACCAAAACCCAACATATCAAAAAAGAGAACCAACCCAAACCCCCCCAAAAAAGCCCTCAAAGCCTAAAACCCCCTGAAGACTAGTAAACAGAAAGGCTTCCTTTCTAGGATGGTTCTTGAGCTGAAAGGTAGGCTGCTACCAGGGTAAGTGCCCCCGTATCATTCTTGGGCTTTTCCCAAGCAGCAGGAACACTGGGAAAAGGGTATCTTAACCTCATCACATCTGGCTGTCCTTCACATTCTTACCACTGACACTCCAACGTAATTCCAGCCCAGTTCCCAGCTTACCCTTCAGTTTCCAGAGTCTGTTTCATTATCAATCAGGAAACAACCCTTCAGCTTCCCGTGTTTGTCCAGAAACCACTGGGGAGCTATCAGACAGGCACGAGGTGCCACTTCCTACCAGCCTGCACATGGACAAACAAGGCCTCTGGAGCCTATGACCATTTTCCAGTAGCAGCTTTTTCCTACTGCAGGGTTTTGCTAACCACCTCTGGACAACTTTGAGATTCTTGCTCTTGTATCAAAGTACTAAGCCACTAGGATGTAGCAGTACAGGTGTTGAACCCCTAGGAGTCATTGCTATAGCAGAAATAAGGAAAGAAAGAAAAGTCCTTCCATCAGCGGAGATGGATCTCTGCGTAATCCAGTGATACGCTGTCTCACAACATCTCTTACTCCGAGCCAGAAAGCAAAGTTCACCAGCATCAGTTCCAGATCACCAGCTCAGAACACTCCTCTGTTGTAAAAGTGATCTGACCTCCTCGTCACTACAGCCTCACCATATACAGGGCACATTCATAGCAATGCAGTGCACAGATTTGGGCCCCCCGCCCCATTCCCCACATCCATACCTCAGTTTCAGGCCGAGGAATAAATACTGGGGGTCTCATCTTCAGAGTCAGGTCCTGAAAGTCCCACTCACCAAGCACATACTGCACTGGCATTCTGTGGCAGGCAAAAACAAGTGTGAGCACTTTACGACACAGAAAAGCTCTCAATATCTCATTATTAACCATATAACCCTCCTGAGGGTGGGCATCCAGACACCCCTGAGGCTCTCAGCTGCAGGTGCACCCTCAGGGGAACTGTGGGAGCTCCATTCCCACAACAGTGCTTGCTATCAAGCACCAGGCCGGGGAACTGCAGGCCTATCAGCCTCCCCTCACTACTGGGTAAGCAATGAACAAGCAGTCCTGGAGATGGTAAGTAAGGAAGGTGACTGGAACAGTCAGCATGGATTTAGAGAAGGGAAATCGTTCCTGACCAACCCGACAGCCACCCATGACACAATGACTAGCTGGGTGCATGAGGAGACGGTATCAATACTGTTTATCTTGACTCTCCTAAGGGGTTTGATACTGTCTTCCCTACCATCCTCACATACAAGCTGATGAGGTATGGACTAGATAAATGAGGTGGACTGAAAACTGGCTGAACTGCAGGCTCAGAGGGCTGTGTTCAGCAGCACAAAGCCCAGCGAAGGCTGATCACTAGTGGAGCATCCCTGGGATCAACAGCAGGACCACTACAGCATAACACCTTCATTGATGATCTGGATGGAGGGGCAGAGAGCACCCTTGGCATGTCTGCAGGCGATAGAAAACTGGAAGGAGTGGTTAACAGACCAGATGGGTGTGCTACCTTTCAGAGGGTCCTCAGAAGGCTGGCAAAATGGGCTGATAGGAACCTCGTGAAACGCTGCAAAGGGTAATGAGAAGTCCTATAAACAGTGGAGGAATAACACCATGCACTAGTACAGGCTGGGGGCCAACCAGCTGCACAGCGGCCCTGGGGATCGGGTGGAGAAGTTGACCACGAGCCAGCAATGTGCCCCTGCAGCAAAAAAGGCCAATGGCTTCCTGGGCCGCATTAGGCAAAGTATTGCCAGAAGGTCACGGGAGGGGATCCTTCCCCTCTATTCAGCACCAGTAGGAAACATCTGGAGTGCTGGGCTCCCAGTACAAAAGAGACATGGACATATTGGAGGAAACCCAACAAATGGCCATTAAGATGGTAAGGGACTGGAGCATCTGACATCCAAGGAGAAACTGAGTGCTGGGACAGTACAGCTGGGAGAAAGGAAGGTTCAGGCTGAGGGACGTGGGAGGGAAGTCTCATCAATAATCGTATGTATGTGGTGGAATGGAGTAAAGACAATGGAGCCTGACTCTTTTTGGTGGTATACAGTAAACAGACAGGCAAAGGGCACAGACTGAAATACAGAAAATTCCATTTCAACTTAAGAACAATGCATTTTTATTTCCCTTTTTTTTTTTTTTTTAAACACTGTGAGGGTGGTCAAACACTGACACAGGCCAAAAAGGTTGCAGAGTATCTGTCTTTGGATATATTAAAAACTGAATTGGACATGGCCCTGAGCAACTTATTCTAGTTGATCCTGCTTTGAGCAGGGGGCGTGGAGTCGATTTCCAGAGGTCCCTGCCAACCTCGTGATTCCATGATCCTATGAATTTGGGGACCATGTTTTCAGCTGCTCTGAGGCACCATACCTCATTTCTTCACGTAGAACAGCAGGTATGTGTTGCAACCATAACAGAATTTAAGACAGAGCAAGGTGCAAGTTGGACAGCTCTGGAAATTCTGCATTTCTGCTCCTAACACAGGACTCAGGAGCAGCAGGACAATTTCAGGGAAGACACTCAGATCCCACAAACAATAACCACTGCTGACACTGACTCCCTGAGAAACCCTCACATCCTATTATGCCTAAATCATGGCAGGATTAATCCACACAACAAAATGAGGATCCACATCATAGCCACACTCACGTAAACAAGCAGGAGGATGCTACTTCCAAACATACTCCCAAGCACCTCCCACCCTTCAAAATGATCCAAGCTCCTGAATATTTCCTCTCCACACATACTACTCCCCAGGCCCAGCCTGATTCCAGGTAGCTCCTTCACACCAAACCCATTTATTTTGTGCTAAGAGAACTCTTCACAGAGAGCAAACAAATGGAGGCCAAACAGATACCAGAGCTACAGCAGCCATGGATACCTCTAAACACCAGGGAAATCCCTCTGCAGGCAGAGCCTAGAAAAGAAAGTACTACACCATCACAGAACAGTATAGGCCTGGCAGCTACAGAGTGTGTTCAATCAGGCAGAAAGGGCCAAGGTTAAGCTTCTTCATAAAGCCTAAGTGTACCCAACCCAGAGCCAGCACTGCCAGTTTCCTGCTCCTCTGCGACATCCCTTAAACCCTCTTTGCTCCCAGACAGGTGAAACGCTACTTGACAAGAGCAGCAAACACCCATCACTTGAGTCAGCAGCAGAGGCTGACACAGCACTGTTGCTTGGCTTGTCAACTGCTAACAGTCTTCTGCTTTCTCTCTGCTACCACTTTTGGCTGCATCAAGACTGAAGGAAAACCCTCCAAAGGAACAACTCGAAGAGAATGCTCCTACCTTTGTAGTCGCTTGTTGCTCAGCTGCTGGATTTGCTCCTGCTGCGCCGCTGTAAGCGGAGTGTGAAGGCTTTTGGAGTTCAAGCTCTGAAACTGAAGACAAGATCACTTTAAAACCTGCCCATTTGTGCCACTCGAGTGTCCTCTGCACCCTCCCATGGCACCCTCCAGGGAGACCCAGCATGCTGACAAACAGCCTGGGACTGCTGGAAACCACAAATAGGAAAACCTATCTGCTTGTTTAAAAACAACCCTGAACAACCGTTCTGCTGCTTTTTGGGGCACAGAATAGGTAAAATTAAGACTCATTCCCTCAAGAAAGTCAGGGTCCAGTGTAGGTGCATGTGTCATAGGTTACATTTCAGTCCCTGCAAAAGAAGACAATAAAGAGACCCGAAGTGCCCTGCTGGCATTAATAAACTATGCCTCACACTCTCTGCCATCTAAGGTAGGGAAAAGTTGTTCTACTTCCTGTGAGTGAGATACAAAGGTAAGGGATTCAACCAAAATAACAAAGTGAGAGCTCACACAGATCTCATTCCTCTCCCGTTACTTAACTGTTTTTGCTCCCAGGACAAATGACACGATATATTCACTGGATTCTCGCGCTTCAAGGATCCCATTTGTCTCAAACACCTTGTGCCAGTAGTTGACCGCATCAGTGGCAGTTACGAGCCCAGGTCTTCCACTGCAGCTCTGCCTCAAAGCTGACCACTTCAGGCTGAGGTCAGGACCTTTACTTTGACTCAGTCCTCCCGGCACACGCTGAGGCGAAAGACCCAACAACCTCTTGAGCAGTGGGTGGGTGAGGCATCTCATTGTTGCAAAGTCAGTTGCTGGCTTCCACATGTGTTCCTCGTTGCCATCAACCAATCTAGACAGTGCTGAGACTCGCAGTACGCTGGGTGCTACCACAAGCCACTGTGGCGAAGCACCAGCTGACCGCAGTCAGCGGATCCTCCTCAGGGTGGCACGAAAACGACACTGGTTTGCAGTTCTTCTGGTCTAGAAAAGGAGGCAAGAGTGCAGCCTGAATCCCTTGGGTTAGCAAATCACAGGTTCCCCTCTGACAGAATGCAGGTTGTTTGCCCTAATCCCAGGTCACAGCTACATAACCAACTACACCCTAAGCGTATCAAAGGATTACCCCAAGATAAGACTCAGGTGACAGCTAACCAGCTCTGCCACTGCAAGCCATTTCTTCACAGAGCTGCCCATCTCCACCGGGGCCAGAGCTGCTAGGAGGCTAGTCCACGCCACTGGCAAGGCAGAAGCGAGCGTGCTCACACACACGCACAGCACTCCTGCCTGTCCTTGGCCTCAGAAAGCCACAGACACACCAACCTTGAGCTCCTGCCCTTGGCTCTCCACCCCATGGGTGGGTCACCCTGCTTCCCTGCAGGGAGACCTTCAGTACCCCCCTAGATTCTTTTATTCCTCTCTCTGTTCATACACAAGTCCTAAGTTAGCGGGAGTGCTCACAGGAGACCTTGACTCCACGGGTCAAGGGTCTTCCACACTGTCACCGTCCCCAGAGAACAGACAAGTGGCCACAGAGATGGGGCTGAGCTGATAAGAGCAAAGAAAGGAGAAACGCTCACAACGTTCAACTAGAGGGAAGAGAAATGCTGGAAAGAAGCAAAGGCTCAAAAGGCAAACCCTGCCAGAGGGAAGTCAAGTCTCTTAAAAGAGAGAACAGGCAGAGCCATACAGAGAGGGAAAAACAAACAAGATGATTGCAGGGAGACAAAGGAGATGAAACTTTACAAAACAGCTGCTGCCTATCATCACACGTGGAACTGCGTGAGACAAACAGAACAACAACCCCACTCTCCTGCTGTGATACATCAGAAATGATGCACCCCCTGTCTCGTGACTCACGGTCCCTGGAGCCACTGTGGGTTTCCCTGAGCGCCCGTTCCCATTCCTCTATTGATGGCTGCTTTTCATCACTGTCTCGGAGAGACCACAACATCCCCTCCTCCCATTCCTCCAGAAAACCACCACACAAACAACTCAATACCTCTCCTGAGCAGCCAGCAGCACCCAGGGTGGCTCTCTGCTCTGTCAGAGTGCTGCTGCGGGGAGATCTGGGGGGGCTGGGTCAGCTCTCACCTGGGCAGCTGCTGGCACTGAACCCCTGCAGCAGCCCTGGACCCTGCTGCGTGGGGCACCTGCGCAGGCAGCAGCACGGGGCCTGCCCTGCTCCTGGGTGAAACTGTGGGAAGAGTCAGGTCCCCACTGCACTCCTTCGCAAAATCAAACCAAACAGAGGCCAGGGAAACAGCAGAGAGAATACCCTGCAGCAAAGATGTCCTGAGTGCCTTACCTGCTACCTCCTGGCAAAGGGGTGGGTACTCAAAGGGCCCAAGGATCCCCTTCTTACCACCTTCATTACTCCCAGCTGAGAAGTAAGCACCCCTATGAAAACCTGCCTTTATGTTATATATAAGCAGTCTGAAACCTACAGTGTTGACCCAAGCAGCTCCCCACTCTAAGGCCTGGGTCTGGGGACACTGTTACAAGAGGAACACTAAAGAAATAAAACGTTAACCATTAGTATTGTTAGGGAGGCAGATGTGACTTTAGGTGGCTATGGCTGGGACGATGCTGCCACTGCTGTCATTATTAATAAAGGAGACCAGCTGCTGATGCCCCTGTATGCTACTTCCTGGTGCAAATACCTGTTTGCACACAGTTAGGGCATAGATTTTTTTCCCTGCAGTTCTGCAGTTTGGTCTGTTCGAGCCCCAGTTCCCCACTCGCTGCGGCCCAAGACTTAGACTCATGGCTCCCACAGGCACGGCCTGTCTCGCCCCCTGCCCTGCCCAGCCGGTCCGCAGGCTCAGGCTGGAGCTGGGGCTGGCGCCGCACCACCCGAGGCCTTTCTGCTGCCGGTAAGTGGCCGGCTGAGCCGGCCCTCAGTGGGCCCCACAGGCCGGCCGCGGGGGTGC